CAATTCAACAATTACACACTTAAATAAATTTACCAAAGTGTTCAACAATCACCATAACCCAGTTTTAGAGCATTTTCATCACCCGAGTAAGATCCTTCATGCATGAATACAGTATATCCCCATTCTCATTCCCAGCCCTAGGCAACCATTACCCTACTTTCTGTCTCTATAGATTTGCCTTTCCTGAACATTTCACACAAATGCAGCATGTGGATTTCTTGTGTCTGACTTCTTTCACTTAGCATGTTTGTGAGGTTCATCCCTGTTGTAGCATATAGCAGTAGTTTGTTCCATTTACTGCTGAATAGTAGTCTAGCCAATTATCTTTATTTACCTATTTTTTGAGACAGAGTCTCGATCTGTTACCTGGGCTAGAGTGCCATGGCATCAGCCTAGTTCCCGAGTAGCTGGGACTACAGGCATTCACTGGCCACCATGGTTGGATAATTTTTTGTTTATGTTTGTATTTGCCCATCTAAGTTTTTCTATTTTTAGTAGAGATGGGGTCTCATTCTTGCTCAGGCTGGTCTCAAACTCCTGAGGTCAAGCAATCCTCCCGCCTTAGCCTCCCGGAGTGCTAAAATTACAGGCGTGAGCCACTGCGCCTGACCTAGCCAATGATCTTTAACTGGTCCCCAAATTGCTCATTAATAGCTTCCCAACTACAACTCACAACACCCATCTGAAGTCCAGGCTTCAAAACAGGCCCCAAACTGCACCCCAGACCATACCCACCAACCCTCAACTGTACCCCCAAACCACTATTAATCCTCAAACAGCGTCACTAAACTACCCTTCTAGAGCCTCACCTTCACCCCCAAATCACCTTCAAACACCCCTCTTATACCCTCAAACTTCCCTTTATCGACTTCCAAGAATATCCCCAAAGGGCCCCCCTTTTTTTTTTTTAAACAGAGTCTCACTTTGTTGCCCCAGCTAGAGTGCCATGGCGTCAGCCTAGCTCACAGCAACCTCAAACTCCTGGGCTCAAGCCATCCTGCTGCCTCAGCCTCCTGAGTAGCTGGGACCACAGGCATGCGCCACCATACCCGGCTAATTTTTTATATATTTTGAGTTGGCCAATTAATTTCTGTCTATTTTTCTTTTCTTTTTTTTTTTTTTTTAGTAGAGATGGAGTCTCGCTCTTGTTCAGGCTGGTCTCAAACTCCTGAGCCAAATGATCCGCCCACCTCGGCCTCCCAAAATACTAGGATTACAGGCGTGAGCCACTGTGCCCAGCCCCCAAAGTGCCCTTTCAGTGAATCCCAACCCTAACCCCAACTATGCTCCAACAATTGTAAACCTCACCCCTAAAATTCCCCTTCTAACAGCCCTCAACTCTGCCTCTACATACCCACTATCTTACCTTGGTCCCACAACTGCAGCCCCAGCTATAGCCCAAAACCACTCTTCAAATGACCACCAAGCCCAACTTTGTCTTAAATTGTGTTAAACTACACTCACAAAATATCTTCCAATTTTCCCCAACCATAACATACAAACCACCCTCCAAAAATTCCCAACTATATCCTAATCTGTCCTTAATAGCTCCCAATGCTACTTGTAAACATTCCCCATTTACTTTTTCACAGTCTTCCAACTACATTTCCCAATCCTACCTCAATATTCCCTTTGATGGCTCCAATCGCACCCAAATGATTTCCAATGGCCACTAATTATACCCTCAAGCTGTCCTCAGTAGCCCTCAAGCATACCTCTAAGTCCCTCCAATGACTCCCAACTCTACCCTAAACCATCTGTATTAATGTTCTATGGCTGCTGCAACTAATTACCACAAACTTGGTAGCTTTAAACAACATAAATTTATTCTTTCACAGTTCTGGGGCCCAGAAGTCCAAAATCAGTTTCACTGGGCCAAAATCAAGGTATAGGTAGAGCCATATTCTCTTTGGAGGCTCTAGGGGACAAGCTGTTGTCTCTTCCATCTTCTGGTGGCCGCTAGCATTCCTTGGCTTGTGGCCACATCATTACAATCTCTGCCTCTGTTGTCGTATTGCCTCCTCCTTGTCTGTCAGTCAAATCTGCTTCTGCCTACCTTGGGTAAGAACATTTATGATTACAATTAGGGTCTACCTGGATAATCCAGAATAATCTCCTCATCTGAAAATCCTTAACTTAATCACATCTGCAAAGTCCTTTTATTTTGCCATGTAAAGTAACGTTCAAAGATTCCATATCTGGAGGCTTTGTTGGAATAAAAAAAAAATAAAAAAAAATAAAAAAAAAAAAGATTCCAGAGATTATTAGGACATGAATATCTTTTGCGGGGAGTTTTATTATTCACCCTACCACACCATTCCATGAGTGTTAACAGCTTTGCTCCTTAAACTACCTTACAGAATACCCAACTCTGTCCCATAAACACTCACTATATTCTAATAGTCCCTCCAACTACACCTCAAACCATCTTCCAACCCCTCAACTGTATTCCCAATGCACCCCCATCTGCACTCTTAAACTGTCCTCTCAAAGTCCCATTCCTCCCAGAGGCCATCACGTGATCCTTCAATTGCATGCAAACTCTCCTGTTATAAACCACAAATTCACCCCAAGCCATCCTCAATCACCACTCATATCTACCCTTAAACACCACCAACTTCATCATCCATCTGCTTTCCCTCCTCCCTCTACATGTTCCCTTCACCCCATCCCACAGTTGCCTCACAGTGAAACTCCAGCTGCATCAGAGGAGGAAGAGTATTGAGCACAAAATATTAAGAGAGAACAGCAAAGAAAGATAGGAGGTGGGCATATTGTGCAAGATATGTGCTGGGAAAGCACTTGTCATGGAGACATTTGAGACATATGTATGAAGCTGGTGTTTGTAGGATTGGGATGTGTGACAGGATAATTAATCTGGGTCTAATGCTGTAAATATTTGCTCCCAGTCTATTGCAAGTCTTTCAGCTTTGTTTGTCGCATCTTTCATCAAGCTGTATGTGGATTTATGTTTTGGTATGGAATGAGAGACCTATGGAGAGACTGTGGAGCACGGTGATGAAGAGTGCCTGGGTTCAAATCCCAAGTTTTATGAGATGGTGTGACCTAGGGCAAGTGACATAATTTTGCTGTACCTTGGTTTCCTGATATAGATTGGGATAATAAATAGAACCCTCCTCAGAGGTCTGTTGTGAGGAATAAAATGAATTAAATCAGATAAAGTGTCAAGAATGACCAATAAATGTTGGTTATTGTAACTTTTCTTTATAACTCTTGCTTTTTGTATCTTGCTGCTTCTTTTCTGCCCAAAGCCTTAAACATATTCTCCAGAAAATGTATTCAAACATTTTATAGTTTTGCTTTTTATATTTAGGTCTTTAACCAATCTGGAATTAATTTTTATGAATTGTATAAATTAATAATCTAATCTCTCTCCCCCAAAGATAGTCATTTCTCCCCAAATCCATCTCTCTCCCAGTGATTTGAAATATTTTTATCATTTATTAATTCCCATAAATACCCGGGTCAACTTTGGGATTCTGTTTTTGTACCATTGATCTAGTTTTCTATTTCTATTCCCATACCACAACGTTTTAATTACTAGAGCTTTGTAATATATTTTGAATCTGGTGAGACCATGCCTTCCTCTTTCTTCTTCTTTTGTAAAATTAACCATTCTTACATGTTTAAGGCACCATAGGAATTTCACCATCAGGACTACACGTTCCATTTTGGAATTTTGATTGATAATGTATTGGTTTTTCTTTTCAAGATTAACTTGATTAATTTGGGGAAGAATTTTCAACTTTATTATGTAGAAGGTCTCCCCTGCTACAAAGTGGTTGTGTGTGTGTGTGTGTGTGTATGTGTGTGTTTACCAAACTAACTGACAGACCTGGAAAATAAGGATGCCAATACGGGAAGGTGCAAGGCAAATGGGAGCCTGGTGAAGGTCCTGGAGGTCCAACTTAGGGCGGGGTCTTGAGACATGGGTAAGGAGGAAGCTAACGTTGTGAGTCTGCATGTTTTGTGAGATATGTGCACCTGAAGGTGAGGGTAAGACCCTCCCCTGTGTGCAAGCCGGTTTGCATGTAATCTGGCACACAGAAGTGCTCAGTAAATGTTGAATAAGTGAACAAATGAATGACTCAATTAATATTTGGAGTGCTTATTGTATGCCAAACAACCTGCTGGCACTTTTCATAAATTATCTCTAATCCTCATAACGATCCTGCCAGATAGGTATTATGACCCCCATTTGACAGGCCAGGAAAGCTGAACTTTGGATAGGGGAGGTCCCCTGCCAAATTCAAACCCTAGTCTTAGGATTCCATAAGTCCTCATTCACCAAAGGGACAAGATCTAATTTCCATCCATCCACTCATTTATCCACGTGCCAAGGATTTGTTAAGCACCTATTGCATAGAGCACAACGACGTGGCACAACAACCGCTGTAGATGGCATAGAAAAGGCGGAGTACTCCGGAAAAGACCAGCTAGGCGGCTAGACAGCAGATACCGAAAGAGCAGGGGTTTCTGGCCCGCACCTCCAGGGAATGTGGCTGCCTCTGCCTCATAGTTATGGCTTCGGCAGAGGGGGCACGGCTAGATCAAGGTTGCAGCGCGGTCTAGGGTGAAGATAGTACCAATATTGGCAGAGAGGCGGCGCAGTTCCGCAGCTTAAAGCTTGCCCCGGAGACACTGCGTGCCAGCGGGCCATAGGTGCGCAGGCGCAGAGGACCCAAGGAGAGGCTTAATATTGTCCTGCGGACGAATAAATTGAGAGGAGGGGCGTGGCTGAGAAAGCGACGCAAACGGGGAGGCGGGATTCAAACAAATTCCCCTCGCCTATTTGCTGCCGCCATCAGGGGCGTGGCCTAGGTGTCCCCCTTCTCGGAATGAGGGCGGGCCGAATCTAGTTTTTCCTCCGCGTCTGAGGAGTTGCTTAGAGAGGGTCCTCGAATTGCCCTTCAGCGATTGGCTACCTCCGTTAGGGGGCGTGGCCATACCAGCCGTCCATCCTGGTGTGGTCACTTCCTGTGGAGTTTCCCCAACCCTGAGAGGTGGGGGAAGAGGACGAGGAGGAGGGCGGTCGTCCCGGGTTAGGTTGAGGCGGGGGTGTCGGTCCGTTCAGGGCGGGGGATGACTCACAGCCCATCCCATCTCCCCGACGCCGCCCGCCCGCGCAGAACTAGTTCCATGGCATAGCGGGGAGGAGGCGGTGGCGACCGGGGGGTGGGTGGGAGGGGACTCTTATTTTGTTAGGGGGACCGGGCCGAGGCCCGACCGGCCTGGCAGGGCTCGCCCGGGGCCGGGCGTCATGTCTCATGCGGCCGAGCCAGCTCGGAACGGCGTAGAGGCCAGCGTGGAGGGCCCTCGAGCCGTGTTCGTGCTGTTGGAGGAGCGCAGGCCGGCCGACTCGGCCCAGCTGCTCAGGTGCGGGGCTGCCTGGGGCTGGGAGTGCCAACTGGGGTTCTTGGGGGCCTGGTCTGGGGGCAGTGGGAGCTCCGCACTGGGATTGGAGGCCCTCGGCCTAGGCTTGGAGGACGTCGGGGCGACCGTCTTGGGGGGCACCTAAGAAATCTGGCAGTGGCCTGCTTTGAGACTTAAAGGAGTCGTGGAAGTGCATTAAGGGGGCCTGGCCAGATTTGGGGGGACTCTTGACTGGGTCTAGAGGAGTTGATTCTGGAGTATCTAGAAACTGGTCTAAGGTAGTTGAATTTGGGGGACTGGGACTCTGATTAGAGGCTGAATTTGGGGTCCTTGAGTCAGGCATGAGGGGGACAGTCAGGTGAGGCACTGATTTTAAGGGAACCCTAGAATTTTTTTTCCTCAGTGTGGAAGAAGGGGTCCCAGGTGCTTGGTAAATCTTTAGTAGCTGGTTACTGTGTTGGGGGATAACGTGAATCTGGAGAGATTTGTGGCTATTGCAGATATGCTCCCTGAGGTCAGCCTTGTGAGTGTGAGTGAATAATCAAGAAAAGCAACATCCAGCAAGACTTGACCAAAATAATCCTTTCACCACTACCTCACCCTTCCCAACCCCCCCGCAAGCTGGGACACATCCCAGGGATAGTGGGAAAGCCCTCTTCCCATACTTCCATGGGGGCTTGAATGGGAGACAGCCAGTCAGACAGAGGGGATGGAGATGATGTTACCTCTTAGCTCAGAGAAGAACGCCTCAGACCTTATTTGGGAACCCAGAGGAGGGTCTTGTTCCTGCTGCCACTTGCCCTAGACTTTCAGCCAGCCCTGCCCACTCTCTACCCACACACTCTTTTTTTTTTTTTTTTTTTGACACGACAGAGTCTTGTTTTGCTGCCTTGGGTGGGAGATCGGGGCATGACTTTTAGCTATCAGCATATTTGTATGGTATGTTTTTTTTTTTTTTTTTTTATCTCGTCCCAGTCTATCTCTCATCTCCTGGGGGTAATCTTGACTCTGTCCCCAGAGCTGGAACGAGTACAGATTGCACCATCTCTGCCTGGGTGGGTCTTCTCTGGCCTCTTCTCATCTGCACTTCTATCAGCAGGCTTTGGAGCTCTAGTGCTCCCTGCCCAACCTAGCGCCCATCTCTTTGGAACTTCTGTGCCATGAGTGTGTGAGCATGGGAGGGGGCTTTGCCTCCTTTCTGCCTGGGATTGTGCTGAGCTCAGCAACTCCCCAAGCTTCCTCTTCCTGACTTCCTGGGTGGTTTTAGGACCCCATCTGAGTGTGAGGAGAGGAAAGAAGACAGATCCTTGGGGAGGGGAGAGAATTCTTATCAAGTGAAGTCACTCATAATTCCTCAGGATTCTAAATCCCTGACTAAATTCAAGGATGCATATTCATCCACACGTGTGTTCGTCTCCCCTGCACACTGGGGTCCTTGGACCCAGCATGGCAGGCTGAGCAGGAGCCTTTTTGTATATCTATTCACCATCTTCTAATTCCTTTATCACAACCTAGATCATCACAGTAGTGGGCATAGTTGAAAGGGAAAGGTATACATGGATTGTTATTTTGTGTGCCAATAGGTATTGGTATTTGGTGGTGGAGGGGGTGTTTTGATCTATCCAAAAAACAGGAGAGGCCTGGGCAGACTCCTCTGGCTAAGAAAAGAATGCTCGTATAAAGCAGATCATCCACCCCAGTTCTCCCTCTTGTAAATCCAGACTATTTGAGCAAGGGGAGCCTTTGATATTTCCATTTTTGTATTTGGGTGTGTGTCGGCATCCCATGAACTCTGGCTGGGGCTGGGAAAAACTGCAAAGTGGTAGATCCTTATGTCATAAACCCCAGTTCTCTTTGTGATGCGTTCAGTTTGTGTTACAATGGACTGTTAGGATGAGGAATGTCCCTACTTGCTCTGTGTGTGTGTGTGTGTGTGTGTGTGTGTGTGTGTGTGTGTGTCTCAGTCCCCACACCTGGGCCCACATTCAGCTGTAAAGAAAACAGTAGGGGGTATGGAGACTGGGAGAACTCTGAATAGTAAGTCAGAAATCCTTCTGTAAAGTCCCTTGTTATTCCTAAATTCTTGTTTTCCTCAAACCTAGGTTGTTGTTACAGTGAGGGGGTTGGGATCCAGACCCTCTCACTATTCTGACTCTTTTTTTTTTTTTTTTTTTGAGACAGAGTCTCGCTTTCTTGCCTAGGCTAGAGTGAGTGCCATGGCGTCAGCCTAGCTCACAGCAACCTCAAACTCCTGGGCTCAAGCGATCCTCCTGCCTCAGCCTCCCGAGTAGCTGGGACTACAGGCACAAGCCACCATGCCCGGCTGATTTTTTTTTTATATATATATATATATTAGTTGGCCAATTAATTTCTTTCTATTTTTATGGTAGAGACGGGGTCTCGCTCAGGCTGGTTTTGAACTCCTGACCTTGAGCAATCCGCCCGCCTCGGCCTCCCAGAGTGCTAGGATTACAGGCGTGAGCCACCGCGCCCGGCACTATTCTGACTCTTAAGTGACAGTCAGTCAGTCTGTCTGTCTGTTTGTCTATCTATCTATCTTTCTCTCTCTCTCTCTCTCTCTCTCTCTCTCTCTCTCTCTCTTTCTTTCTTTCTTTCTTTCTTTCTTTCTTTCTTTTCTCTCTCTCTTTCTTTCTTTCTTTTCTCTCTCTCTCTCTCATCTCTCTGTCTCAGGGGAGGGCTGGGGAATAAGGTCTCCCTTCAGTCACTGACCACTACCCCTACTTCCCCCCTACCCTCAGCCTGAACTCTTTGCTTCCGGAATCTGGGATTGTTGCTGATATCGAATTAGAAAACGTCCTTGATCCTGACAGCTTCTACGAGCTCAAAAGTCAACCCTTACCCCTACACTCAAGGTATGACTTACCTATCTTACTTCCCTCCCAATTCCTTAGCCCCCCTCTCCCGTCTTGATGGGCAGAGGCCCTCCATACCAGCCCAACCCATTCTCTCACCAGCCTGTGCTTTTCCAGATGGTAAAATTAGGGGGCAGAAAGAGTATGTCACACAGGAAAGCAGGTGATTAAGCTAGGATTCCAGCATCTCTAACAAGACCTCCCCTGCCTACCCCACCTGCACACCCATTCAAACACAAATATTCCAGCCAGCCTGGAGCTCCCAGAGACAGGGTGTGGCCTGCTTAAACTCACACCCCCAGGTGGCTGGAGCCAGCCCCCCAGCCCCTACTCAGCTCCCTCCTACACTCTGTAAACTCACCCACCCTCAGCCCTGCTGGTCTCTTCTTTCCCCCAGCTTGGAAGTCTAAATGTGCTGAGTCATGGGCCTGGGCTCTAAGAGAGGGGAGGTGACCTGGAAGAGGGGCAGGAAGAGAAGATTGTGAAATCCCAGAGATTTTCAAGACAGACTAACTCCTGGGACCAGAGGCCCAGGCAAGGGAGGAAGAGGGGCCTGGGGCTGCCCTTATAGCCTGATGCCCACTCCCAGGAGCTCAGAGAGCATCACTAGCTTCAAGTTGGGCTTAGGAGCCCTCTGCATCCACATTCTACTGCCACAGCATCAATTCCTCTTCAGCTTATCTCTAAATAGGATAAACCCCCTCTCACAGAGTTGAGCAATAGCATTTCTACTTACTATATGAACAGGCTCGAATCTAGGTGTCACCATAGATCTGAGGGCTAAAATTCCCCCAGCAAACTATGACCTCTGAGTGCTGGGACCATGTCTGATTCTAGTGTCTGAATCTAATGTCTGATTCTCTAACAGACTGTGAACCCTGAGGGTTGTCACCAGTCCTGGTTCCTGTGTCTTGGCCTCCACAATGTAGCCTCTGAAGGCAGAGAACAGGCCTGGTTCCTGTGTCTACTCCATCACACTGTGACCCCTTAGGCTCAGGATGAGACGTTTAGCTTACCTGTGGCCCCATATTTCCCATTCCACAGCCTCCCAATATCACTGCAGGCCACACCAACCACCCCAGCTACACTCTCTGCATCGTCTTCTGCAGGGGGCTCCAGGACCCCTGCCATGTCGTCATCTTCTTCATCGAGGGTCTTGCTGCGGCAGCAGCTCATGCGGGCCCAGGCGCAGGAGCAGGAGAGGCGTGAGCGTCGGGAACAGGCTGCAGCGGCTTCCTTCCCCAGTCCTGCACCTGCCTCTCCTGCCATCTCTGTAGTTGGTGTCTCTGCTGGGGGCCACACATTGGGCCGCCCACCGCCTGCTCAGGTGCCCAGGGAGGTGCTAAAGGTAAGATGAGGTTCAGAGGCCTTGGGAGGAGGGGCCTTCTGGTGACTGAGGAGTGGTAATAGGAGCTAGGGGTGGCCTGGGCTTCCTGGTGACTTTTGAGCAAAGTCCTAGGGACTCTAAGGAATGTCCCTGGTACTGTTTAAATGGTCTGTGCTCGTATCCCAAGTGTGTAGGGTTTCTGAGGTATTCTTGTGGGGTTGTAAGGGTTTTTTTTTTTTTTTTTTTTTTGAGACAGAGTCTTGCTTTGTTGCCTAGGCTAGAGTGAGTGCCGTGGCGTCAGCCTAGCTCACAGCAACCTCAAACTCCTGGGCTCAAACAATCTTTCTGCCTCAGCCTCCCAAGTAGCTGGGACTACAGGCATGTGCCACCATGCCCGGCTAATTTTTTCTATATATATTAGTTGGCCAATTAATTTCTTTCTATTTATAGTAGAGACGGGGTCTCGCTCTTGCTCAGGCTGGTTTCGAACTCTTGACCTCGAGCAATCCGCCCACCTCGGCCTCTCAGAGAGCTAGGATTACAGGCGTGAGCCACCGCGCCCGGCCCTTTTATTTTTTAAGACAGAGTCTCACTCTGTTGCCCAGGCTTGAGTGCCGTGGCATCAGCTTAGCTCACAGCAACCACAAACTCCTGGGCTCAAGCAATCCTTCTGCCTCAGCCTCCCGAGTAGCTGGTACTACAGGCATGTGCCACCATGCCCAGCTAATTTTATCTATATATTTTTAGTCAGTCAATTAATTTCTTTGTATTTTTAGTAGAGACGGGGTCTCACTCTTGCTCAGGCTGGTTTCGAACTCCTGACCTTGAGCGGTCCTCCCGCCTTGGCCTCCCAGAGTGCTAGGATTACAGGCGTGAGCCACAATGCCCGGCCCTGTGAGGGGTTCTTGAGGCCATGAGGATGTCTTGGTGGATGATGGAGGGTCGTGAATGCCTCAAATGGGCCCTAGCTTTGTAGGAAGAGCTTTGTGTATGTGTGTGATACGTTATGAGTTCTTTGGCCCTTAGGGCATCTGGGAAAGCCATGTATGGTTCCCAGGTCTGTTAGGTGGTGTTAGAGACTGGACGGGGGAGTCTTGGAGACTGTGATGAGTTTTCAGAAACTGTGAGGGATCCCGTCAGCCATGGGTGGATCTTGGGGGCTGTGAAAAATTCTGAGGGAGGTTGGGTCCTGGGGGAGATGCACCAACATCTTTGGGGGGGTTCAGATTCTACTGGGGGTTCTCCAGTTTGCCTGCCTGAGTCTAGGAACAGATGAGTTAGGAGAGTCAGGCTCAGAGTCACCCCTCCAGCCTTGTTCTACCTTTCCCTTCCCTTTCCTCATCTCTCTTATCCCACAGGTGCAGACTCACCTGGAGAACCCAACACGCTACCACTTACAGCAGGCACGCCGGCAGCAGGTGAAACAATACCTATCTACCACACTTGGGCCTAAGCTGGCTTCTCAGGCCCTCACCCCACCGCCAGGGCAGGCGAGTGTACAGCCGCTGCCTGCCCCTGAGGCTGCCCATGCTACCGGCCCCACAGGGAGTGCTCCCAACAGCCCCATGGCACTGCTCACCATCGGGTCCAGTTCAGAGAAGGAGGTAAGAGGCTGTAGCCAGTCCTCACACACTCCCCCCACCCCAAATTCTTCTAACCTTGTACAGGATTTACTTCTTCCCCCAGATTGATGATGTCATTGATGAGATCATCAGCCTGGAGTCCAGTTACAATGATGAGATGCTCAGCTATCTGCCCGGAGGCACTGCAGGGCTACAGCTCCCCAGCACAGTGAGTCCTTGAGATGGGAGGTTTGTCTGAAAATGAGGGCACCCCTCTATCACTGAGACCACACCTGTGTTGGCTTGTGTGTATATGGGACCCTTGCTGTGGATTGTGCCGAGATGTAGAGGGAGGCCCGATGGCAAGAATGGGGCATGTCAGTGCCCTTGGGCCTTGCTGAACTGCTTGAGATGTGGGCATTGTACACCTTAGGAGATAGAGGGTGGGGATTTCACAGAAATACTAGGGCATACTAAGGTGGTAGGTGCTCAGGCTTTGCTGTGAGAAGTACCAAGAGATGGGCCTCTCAACTATTTGAGTGTACCAAGGGATTTGGGTCATTGGGACATACCCAGATCATGTAGCAATTGGAATATACCAAGTCTCTTGGAGCGAACTGTGCCAAGAGGTTGTGTCCTCATAGACAGTGGATAAAACTTTATAGAGCAAGGGATGTACCATTGTAACATTCTGGTTCTCAGACATTCCAAGAGTCTCATAACTTGCTTTGGACCATACCTAGTGGTTATAGCTTTGCTTTTTTTCCAACTTATCAAGAGGATAGAAGCATGTATAAAAATGGTACCAATTTATCAGAACTTTTTATTAATTTGGATACAGCTAGAGATTGAGACCTTATATTAAATGGATCCAGCAGACTGGAGGGGATTTCAAGTGATGAAAACTCATCAGGAGGTGAGAGTTTGGTGTACTTCTAGATTAGTGTGCTGCCTTACAGTGTATCCAGGATATAAAAACTAGGCTAACATAAAAGCAGTGCTAGTTGACTAGTTGGACAAGAATTTCCTGAGAGGTCAGGATGTGCCAGAATATGCTAGAGTCAGGACATTGGTACATGGCAGCAGGAGACCGTGGTATGGAAGGTGGTATGACTTGATCTTAGCAAAAGACTGAAGATTAGGTTGGAACTCTCCAGAGGGCCAGATTTTGGATGGAACGTTGCCATGACAATTTACCAAAGTCTGAGAAGACTAGTTTGGAATGTTTCAAGAATGCTGGATTGGAATGTTGTGCTGGGAGGAGCTAACAGACTGGACTGTCGCATCAGAGCTGACAAAGACCTAAGAACGGTGGTTTTCTGCATTTCTTCTTAGACCCAGCCCTGGATGTGGGAGAGGGGCTTCAGAGATCATTGAGGAATATGAGGAGCTGGGAGTGTGAGGTGATATGCTGGGCAGTCTCCAGTCTCCCAGCAAAACAGGATGGGTCCAGTTTGCTCTGTCCTCCCTGTTGGGTTGCCATGGAAAATTGCCTTAAAAGAGAATGAAAGGTTCTTGTGCTGAGTCCACCAATCCTTGTGTTAGAGGGCCCCATCTTTTGGATTTGTGGAGGGTCAGTAATTTGGTTCCGAGGAGGGGCTAAACCTGGGGTCTGTTCCCAATCACTGTTTCTCTGCCCTCCCTGCCCCCAGCTCCCTGTATCAGGAAATCTGCTTGATGTGTACAGTAGTCAGGGCGTGGCCACACCAGCCATCACCGTCAGTAACTCCTGCCCAGCTGAGCTGCCCAACATCAAACGAGAGATCTCTGGTAAGTGACAGGGTCTTGGCCCCACCCTGTACCCTGGGTGAACCCCATGCCTACCAGGTCTGCAGGTGAGCCTGATTCTGGGGGAAAGGGCTCAGGCATACAGAAATGGGGACCGTTTGCCCTCTTTTTCCATGTGGCCCATGGTCCTGCTTTTATTCCACTTCCTCTTATCTTGGATTAAACAACTGGCATGTCACCATGGCTTCACAAGACATTGTAAAAGAAAGGCACTTAAAAAAATCGGCTAGGCAGGGTGGCTCATGCCTATACCCAGCTACTTGGGAGGCTGAAACAGGAGGATCGCTTGAGCCCAGGCATTCAAGGCTGCAGTGAGCTATGATGATGCCACTACATTCCAGCCTGGGTGACAGAGACCTTATCTCAAAGGAAAAAAAAAAAGTCACCTCCTCTGCCTACCAAACCTTACCTCAGCGTCTGTACATGCTCCCGTCTTTCCTGGGCTCAGAGGCACTCACCACTCTCACTCTCTTCCAGAGACCGAGGCAAAGGCTCTTTTGAAGGAACGACAGAAGAAAGACAATCACAACCTGAGTAAGCCAGACAGTGTGTGCCCTCGCTGCGCAGCCCTGCCTTGCCCTGAATCCCAGCCCCCCATGGGGAGCCCCTCCGCAGCAGCCCAGCTCCGCTTTCAGTCTCTTCCCTCCATGGTTATTTGATGACTCTTTTCCACTCTTTCTCTCCCCCTTCCTCCAAAGTTGAGCGTCGCAGGCGATTCAACATTAACGATCGGATCAAGGAGCTGGGCACTCTCATCCCCAAGTCCAGTGACCCGTGAGTCTGGCTGGGAACCTCAAGCCAGAGGGAGGTGGGGTGGGTGCCCCGTGCTGCTAAAGTTGTGCTTTGGTGGGCCCGCCAGGCAGTCTTGCCCAGACAGTTCTCTGGCTCTTTCTCAGTCTGAGCAGGATCGCACACCCTCACTGTTTGCCCACTGAACATTTTAGGTGCATGACATTATGGTCTGTGTGCCCCATCTGGTCCCTGTAGGGTATATACACTGACTTTTTGTTCACTTAGCATGTCCTTTATTTATTTGAGATTTATTTATTGAGCCTCTGTTTTGTGCCAGGTATCATGCTAGGCACTGAGGATACCAGAGGGAACCAAACAGACAAAGATCCCTGACTTCATGGAACTGATGTTTTATTGAGGGCAGACAGACAGTAAAACAAGATAAAATAAGTAAAATCCATGAGATCAGGTATCATGAGTGTTAGGAGAAGAAAGAAGAGTGAAGGGAAGAAGGGAGAATGATACAGAGGGTTACAGTTTGGGGTATGGAGGGTGGGGACAGGGCAGGCCTCAACCAACAAGAAAAGAGAGCCTCAGGGACTGAGACAGGGAGCCACATGGGCATCTGGGGGAAGAGTGTTCAAAGCAGAGGGTGCAGCTGGGATTGAGGCCCTGAGATAGGAATGGTTTCCCATGTTCTAGAAGCCAGTGTGGCTGTAGTAAGATAAATCAGAGGCACATAGGTGAGAGAGGAGCCATAAAGGATCAGGTGACAGAGGGCTTCCAGGGTTCAGAGTGTGACTGGGTACCGTTGGAAGGTTCCAGGTAGGGGTTTTCATCTGATCACTCCATAGCTTTGATGTACCCTCACCTCAAGCTTTAGACATGTGGGGTGTTCTGTCTGCCAGGTGCAATCTCCCCTCAGCTCCTAAGAAACTCCCTGTGCAGCACTCTCTTCTTTCTCCCACTCGGGCCTCACAGGGAGATGCGCTGGAACAAAGGCACCATCCTGAAGGCCTCTGTGGATTATATTCGCAAGTTGCAGAAGGAGCAACAGCGCTCCAAAGACCTGGAGAGCCGGCAGCGATCCCTGGAGCAGGCCAACCGCAGCCTGCAGCTCCGAATTCAGGTTTAGAAGAGGGAGATGGCGGCGGGGTAGGGGTGGGAGGCAGAGGAAGAACAGGCCAGGGTTTCCCTTCCTGTACTTGGGGAATCCCCAGGCTTCCCAACTCACATGAGGAGGAGGAAGATAGGTAGTAATCATAACATTAATAAGAATAATCATGAATATTAGTTAACGTACGTAGTATTTATCTTGTGCCGTGTAGTGTGACAAGAACTTTATATCCAATAACTCATTTTATCCCCACAAAAAAACCTATGAGGCCGGGCGTGGTGGCCCACGCCTGTAATCCTAGCACTCTGGAAGGCCCAGACAGGCGGATTGCTCAAAGTCAGGAGTTCAAAACCAGCCTGAGCAAGAGCGAGACCCCGTCTCTACTATAAATAGAAAGAAATTAATTGGCCAGCTAATATATATAGAAAAAATTAGCCAGGCATGGTGGCGCATGCCTGTAGTCCCAGCTACCTGGGAGGCTGAGGCAGCAGGATTGCTTGAGCCCAGGAGTTTGAGGTTGCTGTGAGCTAGGCTGATGCCACGGCACTCACTCTAGCCTGGGCAACAGAGTGAGACTCTGTCTCAAAAAAAAACCAAAAACAAACAAACAAAAAAAACCTATGAAATAGGGACCATTATTATACCCGTTTTGTAGATTGAGACTCCAAGGCTCAGAGACGTAAAGTTTCATAACTAGTGAGCAGCAAAGGCTGAATTCCAACCCTGGCAGCCTGTCCTTTTAGCATTTATACTCCTCTGCCTCTGAGGGACTCTGAAACCCATCTTATCCTATACCCACCCCTTACTTTTTGCAGGAGCTAGAACTGCAGGCCCAGATTCATGGTCTGCCGGTACCTCCCAGCCCAGGGCTTCTCTCCCTGGCCACGACTTCAGCCTCTGACAGCCTCAAGCCAGAGCAGCTGGACGTTGAAGAAGAGGGCAGGCCGGGGACAGCAACGTTTCATGTAGCAGGGGGACCTGCCCAGAATGCTCCCCATCAGCAGCCCCCAGCGCCACCCTCAGATGCCCTTCTGGACCTGCACTTTCCCAGCGACCACCTGGGGGATCTAGGGGACCCCTTCCACCTGGGGCTGGAGGACATTCTGATGGAGGAGGAGGAGGGGGCGGTGGGAGGACTGTCGGGGGGTGCCCTATCTCCTCTACGGGCTGCCTCCGACCCCCTGCTCTCTTCAGTATCCCCGGCTGTCTCCAAGGCTAGCAGCCGCCGCAGCAGCTTCAGCATGGAGGAGGAGTCCTGATCAGGCCTCACCCCTCCCCTGGGGCTTCCCCACCCAGGAAAGGAGGACAAGTCAGGATGAGGACCTGCCTTTTCCCCCACCTTCCCTTGAGACTGCCCTGCCCTGGTATTCTGGGGGAAGAGGAGATGTAATCAGGCCCCACCCAGTAATCATGCAAGGAGGAGGAGTCAGATGAGGCCCTGCCACTTCCCCAAAGGAACAGCCCAGTGCAGGTATTTCAGAGGGAGAAGGCTGCAGGTGTTAAGATCAGGGCCTGTCCCCTGGGGATCACAGCCTCAGCCCTTCCCCTGTGGGACCCATCCTTGCCTAGGTGAGGGAAGGAGACTGGATGGGGTCCCATCCCTGTCCCCTAGGGACTGTCCTAGCCAGGTCTCCTAGGAAAAGGAGATACCGGGATAGTGCTCCATCCCTTTTCTTGGAACCACCACTCTGGTCCATCCTGGCATAGAAGAGGAATCAAATGATAGAGATTCTAGCCTTGGGGGTTTAAGCCCTGCCCCTTCCCCATGAGCCCTGCTGTGCCCAGGCCAGGAATGGAAGTGAGGATGAGACCTGGCCCCTTCTCCTGGGAACTCAATTCTGGCCTTCTAGGAATGGAGAAGCCAGGCCCCGCCCCAGAAGGGGTGGGAATGGGCAGGGAGGACAGCCTAGCACAGGTATTTCAGGTGTGGAGGAGTCAGTAGGACCAGTCCACTCCATGTGGAGATCACAGCCCTGCCCTTGTTTGTCCCTTAGCAATATCCCATCCAAGCATTCCATACTGCAGGGAGGAGTGGTGCTTAAGCTCCCCCACCTTAGCCTGGGATCAACCTGATCAAACCTTACTAGGGCTCTGAGACAACCTTGCTCTTGGAGAAGGTGGTAGACCTTAAAATCTTATTGATTGACCTTTCCAGACCTAGATCTGGAGTGAGAGTTGGGCCCCCATCCCTGGGCAGTCTTGCCTTCTTCCTTGAGGGGCAGTTTGGGGAAGTGATGGGGATCAGAGAGCACTGAGTCCAGGTTCCCAGTATTGTTTTTCAACATGTAAAGGAACAAGATGAAGGAAGGGGCCATTCCTGGGAGTTCCTCAGCCCAGGAAAAAGTGGAAGCCTCTCCCACCAAGGCAGAGGTTTGGAGGAGGGTTGCAAAAGCATATGGTACCCTCTTGTTTGTTTATCTGGTTTTTTTTATTGACCTCCCTACTCAGAAGCTAGGTCACCCCCAACCTCTGGCCCCCACCCAGTTCTCCATTTGGAGGTATCTCCCCATTTCAGAGTTATCAAGAGACACTCCCTGCCCATTCCCAGCCCTTCTACCACCTACACCCAAGGTTGTCAGCTTTGGATTGCTGGGGCCAGGCCCCAAGTAGGGTGTACTGAGGGGTCTGTAGGTTTGTGATTAAAATAATAAACGCTAGGCGTGTTTGGTGCGCTTTTAACTTTGGCAGAGAGTCTCCTGTCATTGTTTTTAACTGTGCAGTGGACATGGTCCATGCAGGCCAGGAGGGATACAAGTTCTTGGCAGAAACAGATTTCAGAAGGATGGGTAAAAGAATTTAGATGGGAAAAGGGTCTTGAAGAAAACAATCTGCAAACAAAAGCAATCAGTCTTTTCCATGACCTGCCAGGCACCATCCTGACTGCTACAGGTGTTTGACCTAATTTATTTCTCTAAGGAGCATTAGAGGCTGCTGCTTATTCTCATGTATTGCTTGAGGAAGCTGAGAAATAGGATCTAAGGAACTATTCCAAAGATGTACAACCCGTGAATGGGTGAGGCATGAGATGGTAAAGTCAGGAGCCTGAGGGCTCAGGATTGAAAATTGCCACTGAGGGCAGAGGGCAAAGAAGACTTTTTTGACAATTCACATTGGAAAGTAATAAGGAAGTACATAGGATATTTCCTGACAGACAACAGAGGTGTTCAAGATGGTCGAAAGGGCAAAGACAAAAACCATAAAGGTAGAGGAACAAGGCAAGCAACTCAATTTTGGAACAGATGTTGAAATTTGGGGAGAATTTAAGTGGGTACAAGTATCTTCTTGAAGGCTGAGAAATATTTTTTCCTGGAATTTCTCAACCAGACTCACTGCCAGGACAAACATCAGGCTTGGTCCCTGTGTCTCTCCCATCAGACTGTGACCCCTGAGGGCTGCAACCAGGCTTGGTCACCATGACTCTCCAGCCAGATTGCAACCACCACACTTGCCACCGCTTTCTAACCTATCATGCTGCTACCCCTCAGGCTTGGTTGCTGAGTCTCTATCACCAGACTGGTGGCTTCCTCATACCATTATTTTTGTCTCCTCAACTTTGCTATACTCTCTTATTTATTTTGTAAACATAACGTAATGCCCAGAATTGGTTGGTTGGTTGTTTTTTGAGACAGAGTCTCACTCTGTCACCTAGGCTAGAGTGCTGTGGCATCAGCCTAGCTCATAGCAACCTCAAACTCCTGGGCTCAAGCAATCCTGCCTTCAGCCTCCCAAGTAGCTGGGACTATAGGCACACAACACTATAGGCACGTGACATGATGCCTGGCTAATTTTTCTATTTTTGGTAGAGATGGGGTCTTGCTCAGGCTGGTCTCAAACTCCTGGCCTCAAGCGATCCTCCCACCTCAGCCTCCCAGAGTGCTAGGATTACAGGCATGAGACACTATGCCCAGCCACAGAATTTTTTTTTTATAAGGCTGGTCAAGTGAAGCAGTGGAAGTGGAGAAGGAACAAAGGAATCTGTAACTGGTGGGTTTTTTTTTTCAAGTTTCTATTCTGAAGTAGATTTACAGAAGAGTTGGAAAGCCATTAGAGAGGGCTTCTATATGCATCACCCACCTCCCCTTAATGTTGACATTTTATAAAACCATGGTACATTTATCATTGCTAAGAAAATTACATTGGTAGAATACTATTAACTCAATTTTGGACTTTATTTGGATTTCACTGGTTTTTCTGGTAATGTCTTTTCTATTCTAGGATTCAAATAAGGACACTATTAATTATCTATTCCCGTCTAACAAATTACCACAGTCTTAGAGGCTACAAACAACACATATTCATTATCTGTCAGGTTTTGTGAGTCAGGAGTCCAAGCTGGGTGTGGATATGCCTTTATGGGTCTTGGAAAAGAAAAAAAAAAAGTATGGAAAGTGAAAAATAGTAAACTTACAGTGGAAAAGCCTGGTGGGCACCACTTTAACCAAGAGATAAATGTTAACATCATCAGTAATAAGACACTATTATCATACACCCTCTGATGTGATGCAAGGAAAATGGCATCTCACTTTTGTGATATTCTTTCCCCAAAACCCATAACCTCAGTGCAACCACGAGAAAGAAAAACCCAAATTGAGGGACATTATACAAAATACTTAACCCGGATTGTTCAAAAGTGCCAAGGTCATGAAAGACAAGGAAAGACTGGTATATTTAAATGAATACAGTCATTTGTCTCCATCTGTCAACTCTAGCTTTTGTTTTCTTGCCATGAGACTGAAGCTTGTGTCATTATAGAGACATGTTTATCAAGGCTCCTCAGTGTCTTTTATACCCACCTGTACTGGATCGTGATCATCTCTGAGTGAGGGGAAGCAAGTAGTAAGCCCTATGGTTGTTCCTTCTTTCTGCCTGTGTCAGTTTTAGGCTCTCCCTGCAGGAAAGTGCAACCTAGGCAGAGAATAGCAACAAGGCTGAGCTGCAGAGGGAGAAGTCTGATTTCAGGGCTGTTGGGATTTCAGTCTATCAGGCATGGCACTGGAGAGAAAGGAACTTTGTAGAAGTGGAGTTCCAAAAATTACCATAGGCTTTACTTTAGGTCCTTCGCTTAGTAGAAAATGCAGCTTAGTATTTTGGCCAAACACTAAACTATGCAGGCTTAGAGATGCTACAAGGCCAGGGAGGGAACAGTCCTGGGCTTATGTGAACTGAATGGAGATTCCAGGGGTTGCACAGTTCTATAAGAATCTTGAATAGCCTGGGTGGAAAGTCCTCAGCCAATATTCCACTGAGAAACAGAGACCCCAGAAAAGCCATTCAGCCCTCGAGTAAGGATAACTGTAGATCCTCCCTAAAATATCCAAAAACATGCCTCAAAAGGATCAAGCTGAATTGTGGGATTTGTAATGTATGTAGATATAATATACATAATAATACAAGGGACAGTATTTGGTAAATGAAAACACTGTTGCAGGGTTTTTCCACCTTACATGAAAGAGTACAAAATTAACTTTAAGTTGACTGTGATTATTATTATTTTTTACCTCTTTTTTTTTTTTTTTTGAGGCAGAGTCTTGCTTTGTTGCCCATTAGAGTGCTATGGCATCAGCTTGGCTCACAGCAACCTCAAACTCCTGGGTTCAAGCGATCCTTCTGACTCAGTAGTTCAAGCGATCCTCCCGAGTAGTTGGGACTACAGGCGTGTGCCACTACACCCAACTAATTTTTTAAATATTTTTAGTCCAGGCACAGTGGCTCACACTTGTAATCCTAGCATTCTGGGAGGATGAGGTGGTGGATCGCTCAGAGTCAGGAGTTCGAAACCAGCCTGAGCAAGAGCGAGACCCCATCTCTACTAAAAATGGAAAGAAATTAATTGAACAACTAAAAATATATAGAAAAAATTAACCAGGCATGGTGGTGCAGGCCTGTAGTCCCAGCTACTTAGGAGGTTGAGGCAGGAGGATCGCTTGAGCTCAGGAGTTTGAGGTTGCTGTGAGCTAGGCTGACACCACGGCACTCTAGCCCGGGCAACAGAGTTGAGACTCTGTATCAAAAAATATATATATTTTTAGTTGCCCAGCCAAATTTCTTTCTATTTTTTAGTAGAGATGGGGTCTCACTTTTGCTCAGGCTGGTCTTGAACTCCTGAGCTCAAGCAATCCTCCCACCTCAGCCTCCCAGAGTGCTAGGATTACAGGCATGAGCCACCACACTGGGCAGACTGTGATTATTAACCACTTCGGTACCAGCGTTAACTATAGACTATAGCCACAGATGAACGTGCACAGCGACTTTAGCCTACAGCCATGATATGACTTTTCTAATTTTTCATTTATCAAAATAAGATTGTGAACATTTAAAAATAACGTAATGAAAACATATATGTATATGTTACCTATTCTGATTTACATTACAACTAAAGCTGCCTGTAAAGTAAAACAAGCTTTCAGTGCTTTAAAGCTTTCCTCATCACACAAGAGCAAAACGGATTCGTCGTCAATGCACAGCACAAACTATCGTGCGGCCTATGAGTGCCGGCTGTGGGCAAGGTTTCCCGGCCAGTGAGCGCGGTCCCGAAGTGGTTAATAGTTAAGGATGCATTTTGTAATCACCAGGGCAACCTCTGAAGAAAATAATGAAAACTAGTACAGCTGAAAAGCCAATAGAAGAATAAAAATTGAATATTAAAACATATTTGTTAAGAAAAAAAAAACATATTTGTTAACTCAAAAGAAGGTGGGAAAGGAGGAACAGAGAACCAAAAACTGAAGGAACAAATAGAAAACAAATAACCATGTGACAGAGCTTAATCTGACCATTTCAATAATTCCATAAAATATAAATAAATGGAGTAAAGGATGCAATTAAAAGGCAAGGATGGCTGGGCACGGTGCCTCACGCCTGTAATCCTAGCTCTCTGGGTGGCCGAGGCGGGCGGATCGTCGGAGTTCAGGAGTTCGAAACCAGCCTGAGCAAGAGCGAGACCCTGTCTGTACTATAAATAGAAAGAAATTAATTGGCCAACTAATATATATAGAAAAAATTAGCTGAGCATGGTGGCACATGCCTGTAGTCCCAGCTACTTGGGAGGCTGAGGCAGCAGGATTGCTTGAGCCCAGGAGTTTGAGGTTGCTATGAGCTAGGCTGATGCCACGGCACTCTAGCCCAGGCAACAGAGTGAGACTCTGTCTTAAAAAAAAAAAAAAAAAAAAGGACGTGTTTGTGTGATCTAAAAAATCATTATTAAGAGCACATAGGTAAATAATACAAATGTTATTAATATATTTGCATTTTCATAAATAAAATTTTTATTTTTTTATTTTTTTCTATTTTTAGTAAAATGAGTGTCTCTCTTGCTCAGGCTGGTCTCCAACTCCTGACCTCAAGAGATCCTCCCGCCTTGGCCTCCCAGAGTGCTAGTATTACAGGCGTGAGCCACCGGGCCTAGTCATTAAAATTTGATCAAACATCAAACATTTTCTAGAATTTGAGACAGAGTCTCACTTTGTCCTCCTGGGTAGAGTGCTGTGGCGTCAGCCTAGCTCACAGCAACGTCAAACTCCTGGGCTCAAGAGATCCTCCTGCCTCAGCCTCCCAGGTAGCTGGGACTATGGGTGCATGCCACAAAAGCCAGCTAATGTTTTTCTATTTTTAGTATAGAGGGGAATCTCACTCTTGCTCAGGCTGGTCTCAAACTCTTGAACTCAAGCAATTCTCCCACCTGAGCCTC